GTTGTCTCTTCTTTGTATTTGGCTAATTTTTTTTTATTATCAAAATTTCGAGGTGTAATTCATTCATTCATCTGGTAATTCATCATTATGTGTAATTTACAATGAATGGAATGAATGATCGGGGCAGGTTTTGGAATGAAATGAATGAATGGCTGGCATTTATCAAAGAATGTTGTAGCGTTTAGATGACAGGGGCGGGGTGAAAAAACATGAATTTGTAATTCTAATTCAGCCGACATTGTTAATAATGACAACCAAGGAATCTGCGAAATTGGCCGTTATAAACGATAGTGGGTAGAATCAATATTAAAGGCCGTGTATTTTTGATGGTTTTGGATACCGTATTTATAGTCTTTTTTTTTTTTTTTTTGAAATTGACTGCTATATAAGTCCTTCGGAAAGTTTTGTCCTTCATTTTCTCAGAGTCTTTACTGCTATATGAGCCCTTCAAAAAGTTTTTTCCTCAATTTTAGGAAATCTGGACGCAATGATTTAGATATTGAAAATATTATATTTGTTGCCCTTTTTTAAACTTTTCCCTAATTTCAGATCGTATACTTCATATGATTTTGAGAATGTGTTGCCTCCCTTACAATTCTAGCTGTCCCGCTCCTGTCACCCGTTTTTTTATAATTATCATGTAATTTTAATTTAATTTCAATTTATTCTCAAATCTATTGTTGGTGGTAAAATAATTTAAAAATCTGTGTTCTGTTCGGTTGCATGCCAGAAATATTTTCAAAATACATTGCAATGTAAATATAAAAATAGAAATAAAACAGAGAATCAATTATTGTTATTATTAGTCACAAGTAATTGCTGACATGCTGTTGTTGTTCTATTTTCTGTATGCATTAACATTGTTTGATTTTGTAATTGATAAGAATGGTTTTTTTCATTTACATTGTATGACCTTCTTTTATATTCAACACTTTATTATCCTATCTTTGATTAGATATTGATAAATCTTTATCATTTAGATTATACCTATAAAATATACGTTCCTTAGAAATGTTGTTGCTATAATCTTAATCCGTATTTGACACACTTTTAAGGTATCCGAACAAAAGCTGCTAATAAATAATATTCGAAATTATTCAATTTGATGACCGGAATATATTTATGTTGATAACAGATTTAGCCAGAGGTGATATATAATCACTGAGGTCTGATTCTTTTCTGTAGAAGCAAATAATCAGTCGGTGAGGTCTGATTAGTTTTTATAGAAAAAAAACTTTAGTGGCTAGGGTCTGAGGTCTTACTTTGCTATAGGAAAAACCAGTAAGGAAGGTAGTAAAGTCGGACTGGGCCGACGAAAAGATACCCTTCACAACTTTGTTTGTATTATATTTCATGTCAATGTTCCCTCGAAGGAAAATATACAAGACTTTCTGCAATCCATGCTAAATTTAATTTCATTCGGAAAGATTTAGAATCGTTTGCATACAATAAGACAACTTTATGGAAATCGATTTATAGCAACATGATGCACGCGATTTGGTATGCCGAATGTCAATCAGATAACCGTTTGAAATATATATGGAAGCTATGTCTGCATCTACTCCAATTTAAACAAAACGCAATAATATTCTAGTCTCAGTTTGAAAACATATATCGAGCATTTACATTAAATAGAACGAAAACATATATCGACGCCTCCGAACCATAGTATGCTGTGCAAAATTTCGTGTCAACCGGACAAACATTAGGTGTTTGGTGCACCATATATGTGGGATCTATATCTAAATCTGAACTGATTTCAACGAAATTTCTTGCGATTAATTTATATAAATTTCAGTAATTAGTAAAAAATTATGTGCCAATCAGACGCACTTTGCGTCTTTAGTACACTATATAAAAAAATCGGAAGAATATGTATATGGGAGGTACACCTAAATCTGAACCGATTTACACGAAACTTAGCACAACTCATTCTAGACGTAATTCAGTACGATATGCCCAATTTCGTGAAAATCGAAATATATATAGAGACTTTGTTGCAGAATTTACATTAAATCGGACGAAAATATATATGGGAGCTATATCTAAATCTGAACCGACTTTCTCGAAACTTAACAAACATAATTCCAGACTTAATTCAGTACGTTTTGCCAAATTTCATGTGAATGGAAACATATATAGGGGTTTTGGTGCACCTTTTACTTTAAATCGGATGAATATATATATGGGAGCTATATCTTAATCTGAACCGATTTTTACGAAACGCAACACTCATTATTCTAGACTCATTTCAGTACGCTATGTCAAATTTCGTGCAGATTGAAGGATATATAGGGACATTTGTGCAACATTTACTTTAAATCGGACGAAAATATATATAGGAGCTATATCTAAATCAGAACCGATTTTCTCGAAACTTAATACACATCGTTCTAGGCTTAATTCAGTACGCATTGCCAAATTTTGTGTAAATCGAAACATATATAGGTACTTTGGTTCGGAATTAACATTACATCTGACGAAAACATATATGGGCGCTATACATAAATTTTAACCGATTTTCCAGAAACTTACCACTCATCGTTCTAAACTCAATTCCGTGCTAATCGAAAGATATATAGGGACTTTGGAATACCATTTACCTAAAATCGGACGAAAATATGTATGGGAGCTATATCTAAATATAAATCGATTTCCTCGAAACTTAACACACATCATTCTAGACTCAATTTAGTACGCTGTACGAAATTTCGTGCAAATAGAAATATATATAGGGGCCTTGGCGCACCATTACTTTAAATCAGACGAAGAGATGTATAGGAGCTATATCTAAATATGAATCGATTTTTCCCAATTTCAATAGGGTTCGTCCTTGGGCCAAATAAATGAGCTGTGCCAAATTTCACCCAATTCGGATAAATGCGACATGTGCTTTGTTTACAATTTAACATGGACAGGCAGACGGATGGACATGCATAAATCGACTTAGAAAGCAATTACATTCATATTCTCAAAAGGAACCTTGTGTATATTTCGCTCCCTTTTGCCAGTTACAAACATATGCACAATACACTGTACCACAGTGAGGTGAAGGGTATAAAAATACCTCAGACAGATTCATATTCTCAAAAGGAACCTTGTGTATATTTCGTTCCCTTTTGCCAGTTACAAACATATGCACAATACACTGTACCACAGTGAGGTGAAGGGTATAAAAATACCTCAGACCCTGAAGTGTGATTTTTTATAGAAAATAATTACTTAAGAAACTGAAGTCTAATTTTTTCTATAAAAAAATACCTCAGAAACTGAGGTCGGATTTTATTCTATCGCAAAAAAAATGCCTCTGAAATTGAGGTCTGATTTTTTCCGATAATAAAAAATTCGCTAGAAATTGAGGTCTGATTTCTTCTATAGAAAAAATATTTATCAGAAACTAAGGTCTAATTATATTCTATAGAAACAAATATCTGATAAACCAGATTATATTTCCGTTTATTATATTTTACCATTCGTCCTTTTGTGTGGTCTAAAAATAACAATTCATATCAATCTGTCCAAGGAAACTAGGTTACTAGACTAACGTTTTTTATTCGCTTGACTCTCAGTTATGCGGCTGCACCTTATATCCAGTTTATCTGAACATTTTATGATAATCATGAATCAACAAGGCCCACCAACAATTTATTCCATTTTCCAAATATTTTTTTATTCATTCATTGTCGACATTGATGGTGGTGGTTGCAATGGAGGTTCATTGTCTAGAGTGAATAGAACTGAAAAAGAAGGCAATGCATAGGCCAAAACCCTTTAAGCCATAATTTGTTACAAATTGTTTTATTTTCATTATTGCCGTTGCCGCTCATATCTTTCATAGTTGATCTGTTGGAACCTAGAAAACCAAAAAAACGAAATCTCATAAAATTTCAGCAGAGACCAACCTCTAAAATTGTTCCTCAGCTCAGATACTAGGTGGTACAATGTTGGTGTCTGCATTATTTGCGGTTTACTCCTTACTTGGTGTAATGCGCTCATAATATGGACCACCATTCACATTACCTAGCATATAAAGTTGTATTTGGCCAAAGAGCAGGAAAACTGGTTTTCCTTCTCTTCGTGTGGTAATATCCAAGCCATGATCATTCTATGGAGTGTCCGTCTTAACTGCGGACATGTGTAACATAAATTGTATCTCCAAGAAATCGAAACAAAACTGGCTTGGCTTGTGGTAAGCGATGAAGCTAGCAGAAATTGCAATTTTAGGCGTGGATATTTTCACTTTCATTGATCCAAATACCACACAGTGGAGGCAAAATTTTATTCGTAAACTTTAAGAAAAAATCTTTCAAGTATAACAAAAAGTACTGAGACATATTTTCTTAAAAAAAGTATTTTTCCATATATACCTTAGGCATGGATTTTTTAAAAAATATTTATTCCATAGAAATAAGTCCGATTTTTTCTTAAGAAAAAAATCAATCCGTTTACCTTGAACATATTGAAATTTAAAAATTCACTCTTCCTTCATATTTGACAGCTATTTGACATAATGTTTTTACACTTGTTTCCTTTTGTTTCAAAACAAAAAAAAAACTGTCTCCAATTTGTTATCATTTTTCAAAATCTTCCAACAGCAAAAAAAAATAAACATCAACATGTTATTAAAACAACACAGGCCTATTAGTCTCCATTAGATTGTGATGCTGCTTGTCATTTCATTCGATTTCGTAAATATATATTTGAAATGTTTTCAAAATTCAGATACACACACACGATCGCACTTGTCCGTATCTTGTCATGCTTAAACATTTTTTTCTTAAATGTTGTCATTTGTTTTCTCCACTTGATCTCCCATTTAAAATCCAAATATTAAAGATCAAAATACGACATTTAATTAATGAATACAACAATACAACATCTTAATGTGTATTTTATTAAATAAAATTAATTATTGTGATGTTCAAAATTTTTCGTATGTTTTATATATGTATGTATATACATTAATATGTTTTCTGTTTCTCTGTTTTGTTTGTTTGCAGAGCTATCGATTATTATCAGGAAACTGGTCAAACACTGAGTTCGAAATTGAAAGAACAGCGACAACAGCCAGGCGGTAATCGTTTAGGTGGTCCATTGAGATATCCACATACCATATTGTTTTGGTTAAGATGTAATCAGGTGAGTAATATTTAAAAAAAATCGGTTAATACATTTCTTTAAAAGAAAAAAATTGTAAAAAATTTACGCCTTAGGTTTCAATGTAAAAAATATTTTTTTTAAATTCCACGCCTCAGTGAAAAAATATTTTTGGAAAAATATTTTGAAAAAAATATATATTAAAACCAGTAAGGAAAGTAGTAAAGTCGGACTGGGACGACTATATAATATCCTTACACACTTTGGTATATTCTACATACATATATATCCTAACATACATATATATCCGAACTCAAATATGTGATCTTTATCTATATTTGTTCTGAAACCTATGCTAAGTTTCATTTCATTAAGGCAGAATTACAGTCGTTTGCGTGCAATGGGTAAAAAATTTTCATTTTTCAAGATTTTCAATGGGCTGGTAAATCAATACCAATGCTTGTTAAGGTTTGTAACTTAACACATATATACTTGAAGATTTAAATTAGAAGAAAAAAAAATTACAAAATTTTTTTGTTATTGTTTTGTTGTTGTTTTTTGTAATTAAAGAAAAGTCCTTATTTTTGATGGCGGGCATGATAACTCCTCACTGAAACATCGGAATCCGAAAATTCCAACGGTGTTAGGAGTACATGTCTGGCTCTCGTATGAACTAGGATTATTGACTTCGCTCCAAAATTAACAAAATGGTGGACCTTTGAAAAAATATTTTTGGAAAATCGAAGATTTTTTACCAAAACCCATGTTAAAAAATAAGGATCTTCCGATTGCTTTATCCTAGTTTATACGATAGCTATACACTCTCAGAGAAACGTGTAAAAATTTGAAGTAGATTGGGTTATTAGTTTTTGAGTTATCGTGCCCGCCATTCGCAAAAAAATGTTCAGAGAAAAACGCGTTTAAAGTTTGAGAAGCCCTTCAGCCGTCACTTGATGCTGACACAGTAAACCGGCTATATCTTCAAGAGTTCTTGAGATTTTCATTTGAAATTTTGTAGGGACATTCTTTAATTAGTGTAGATTCGAATTATATCAACAAAATTTTTGACCCCGAGAATGGGGGGGTCCCCTTAAATCGATTTATAGCAAGCTTAATGCCCGCTATTCGCTATGCCGCACTTTCGTGTCCATCGGACAAACATTAGGAGTTTGGTGCACCATTTACCTAAAATCGGACGAAATTGAGAGCTATATCGAAATTTGAACCGATATTCACGAAACTTAGCACAAATCATTCTAGACTCAATTAGGTACTCTATGCCAAATATCGTGCAAATCGAAATATATATTCGGACTTTGGTGCACTATTTACATTAAATCCGACGAACTATATATATATATAACTATATATAGGGCTATATAAATCTGAACCGATTTTCACGAAACTTAACACACATCATTCTACTCTTAATTCAGTACGCTATACACAAATTCCTAAAATCGGACGAAAATATATATGGGAGCTATATCTAAATCTGGATCGATTTTCACGAAGCTTAACAAACATAATTCTACTATTAATTCAGTACTCTATACAAAATTTCCTAAAATCGGACGAAAATATATATGGGAGCTATATCTAAATCTGTGTATATATATGGGAGCTGTATCTACATCTGAACCGAATTTCACGAAACTTAGCACACATCATTCTTGGCTTAATTCAGTACGCTGTGCCAAATTTCGTGTAAATCGAAAGATATGTAGGGACATTGGTGCACCATATATATATATATATATATATGGGACCTATATCTAAATCTGAACCGATTTTCACGAATCCATCACACATCAATCTACTCTTAATTCAGTACGCTATACAAAATTTCGTGCAAATCGAAAGATACAAAGGGACTTTGGTGCACCATTTGTCTTAAATCGGACGAAAATATATGGGAGCTATATCTAAATCTTAACCTAAATTCTAGGATTAATTCAGTACGCTGTGCCAATTTTCGTGCAAATGGAAAGATATATAGGGACTTTGGTGCACCATTTTCTTTAAATCGGGCGAAAATATATATGGGAGGTATATCTAAGTCTGAACCGATTTTTCGCAATTTCAATAGTGTCCGTCCTTGGTCCAAATAAATGAGCTGTGCCAAATTTCTTCCAAATCCGATAATAAATGCGACCTGTACTTTGTTTACAATTTAACATGGACATACAGACAGACGGACGGACATGCATAAATCGACTTAGAAAGTGATTCTATGCATATTCTCAAAAGGAACCATGTGTCTATCTCATTTCCTTTTGCCTGTTACAAACATATGCACAAAGACATAATACCCACAGTGTAGTGAAGGGTATAAAAATCCACGCCTAGGGTTTCAATGAAAAAATATTTTTTTTTAAAAATCTACGACTATGGTTCGTATTGGATAAATATTTTTTAAAAAATCTTTAAAAAGGTGGTCTGTTGGCAAAACACCATAAATGATACTATAACAAGAGAACATCGTAATCTACATATATATTTAAATTCCTATCGATTACAGTCTGTCTACAAATGTCTTTAAAAAACATATTTGTCATTTGAAAAACAAATATCTAAGTCCAAAGACCCTTGTGGCAAAAAACAAGCCCCCCCTAAGGAGATGAGTAAAAGTCAACTGTTTTGGAATTCCAACACAGCAGCAACGACAACAACAAACATTATCAAATTATTTTCCATTTTATTCACTGAGTCTGTATTGTTAGGCTGGAATTGTGACCCGAGTTCATTAACAATGCCAAGAGCGTATGTTTTTGGCCAAAGTCATCACCATCATCATCAGCAGCATCAGCATCGAACGTTCTTACCAAAATATTTTGTTGTAGATATTTTTTTGCCATTTGTATGCTCATTTTTTATGAAATCACATTTAGGCTTTTGGGCATTCATTCACATATTGTTTACGAACAGACTGGCGGGTTGGCTGACTGACGGACTGACTCGAACCAGTGAAAGGCAAAAACCCCTAAGAAAAATGAATACAATTTTTGTTGAATTGTTAATTTGAGCCGACCAATGTTTGGGTCATTTTAGCCAAAACATTCCAAAAATCGAGTTCTCCAAATGAGAGACATTCATTAGCTTATCGCCGATTCTTCATCAGTGGCAAAATGACAAAAAAAAACAAAAACAAACTATGACGACAATGATGGTGCCAAACAAGACCTCAAAGATGAACCAGAACACATCACACGACACAACATAACTATAGCCAAATGAGAAGTCATTCCGAAAGACAAACATGACTTAAACTTCTTTCATTCATACACGAAGTTAACGCCAACAAAAACACACCTCCCCCTTTTAGAAGCCGAAAATTTTTGTTGCTTCATAGAATGTTTTTAGGCCAGAAAATAATAAAATAAAATCGAAACTCGTGCAGAATAAAACGCCAGCTCACAAACATACATACCTACATAAGAGCTGGTGTGTGTGAGTGTAGAGAGTGGTCGGACTCCTTTCACTTTGCATTCTTTTCTTGAGAGCCGATAACCATTTCAGTTACAACTTATTTAATTACCTTTTTTGCATGGCTTTTGGTGTCTTTCAATATTTCATTCTTTCGGAATTCAATGTTGGTGGGTTGGCCTTCCATGACATCTACCGCGGTGGTAATAGCGGTTGTTGTAAATTTACGATAATAATTCCATGAAAAGTAGTTGTCATTCATTTACCTTTTCTTGGCGTGGACATTCTTAGGCGTAGATTTTTTAATCAGAACATTTTTCCATAGAAACTTGGATTTAAAAAAATCCACTGAACCCTTAGGTGTGGATTTTTATACCCTTTACCACACTGTGGTACAGAGTATTATGTATTTGTGCATATGGCAAAAGGAAACGAGATAGACCCATGGTTTCTTTTGAGAATATGCATAGAATCACTTTCTGAGTCCATCCATCCGTCTGTCCATGTTAAATTGTAAACAAAGTGCAGGTCGCATATATTATCCGAATGAGATGAAATTTGGCCCAGATCATTAATTTGGCCCAGGGACGAACCCTATTGAAATTGAGAAAAATCGGTTCAGATTTAGATATAGCTCCCATATATATTTTCGTCCGATTTTAAGCAAATTGCATGAAATTTTGCACAACGTACCGAAAACGTGTCAAGTTTTATTGAAAAAGCGGATATAGCTCCCATATATATTTTCATCCGATTTTTAGCAAATGGTGCACCAAAGAGTCAAATTTAAGCAGATTGTCACAAAACTTTGCAGTTAGGATAGACTAACGTGTCCCAAGTTTTTTTGAAATCTGTTCAGATTTAGATATAGCTCCCATATATATGTTCGTCCCATTTTTCGCAAATGGTGGACCAAAGGTTTAAAGTGCGTTCGATTGGCACAATATTACGCACAACGTATCGAAATGGATCTGGGTTAACCGTTATATGGGGGTTACCCGAAAAAGTGGACTGATATTAATAACTTTTAGTGGAGACATGTGGTACGTGGACCGATAAAGCTCATCTTCGGACCAGCAGACAACAGACAAATTTATGCAAAATTTTGGCTATCTATCTCAATTCGTTTAGACGCTAGAGATTCCAACAGAAAGACGGACCTGCATCGTCATAGAATTTTACGCTGATCAAAAATATATATACTTTATACAAATATACCCGGTTATTGATTGTTGGGTTAAGTCGGTTCACATATAAACACAGATCACATCTTTAACTTAGTCAATTTTCATGTCAATGGTCCTTCAAAAATTCAAGGTCTGTAAGGATGTATTTCTTGAATATAGCCAAAGTGGTAAAGGGTATCATATAGTCGGCCCTCCTGCCGACTTTATTGCTTTCCTTACTGGTTTAATAATGGGTTTTCATTGAAATCTGTGGCGTAGATTTTTTAAAAAAATTTTTTCATTGAAACCTGAGACCTGGATTTAATTTTTTTTTATTGAAAACTGAGACCTGGATTCTTTAAAAATATTTTTTTTCATTGAAACCTGAGACGTGGATTGTTTTTCCATTGAAATCTGAGACGTAGTTTTTTTAATGTTTCCATTGAAACTTAGTGGTGGATTTCAGAAAAAAATATTCATTCCATTAACCATTAGGCATGGATTTTTTAAAAAAATATTTTTCCATCGAATCCTTAGGCTTGGATTTTTAAAAAAATATTTTTTTCACCGAATCCTTTGACGTGGACTTTCTAAAGAATTCTCTTTTCATAGAACACACTAGATAACTATAGGATTTGATTTTAATAAAAACAAATATTTTTCATAGAAACCCAAAGATTTTTTAAAGAAAATTTTTCTATTGAAAACTAAGGCGTGGACTTTTTAAGAATTATTTTTTCATAGAACCTACTAGAAAACAGTAGGATTTGATTAAAAAAAAAAAATCATAGAAACCGTAAGTTTTTTATACGTAGATTTTTTGTAAATTAGGTTTTTTAGGAACCATAGATGTGAAGTTTTTATTAAATTATTTTTTCTATAGAAGCCATAGACCTACATTTTTTGTAAATTATTTTTTCTATATAAACCATAGAATTGTATTTTTTATTAAATTATTTTATCTTTTTTGTTTTTGCAAAATAGTCAGGCTGAATCTCAGTTTGTTGTTTTTATAAAAAAAAAACAACTATTTATTAGTGGGCAATGTGTGGCATTGTTTGCCGAGATGTAAGGCAGGAAAACTATAGTTTCGGATCACGCCATTGATCCTCCTCAGTTCCTTAGTTTTTTGTTGGGATATTCTCCACAGAAGCTATTGCTTTTATACAAAAAAATCTTTCATACCCAAATGTCTCTTGTAACAAAGCGAAGTATTTAGCTGACCAAAGAAATAAACTGCATGAGAATTTCGCTGGTGCCTCACTTCGAGGTTAACAAGACATTTTCAAATTTTATCTATAGAAACCATAGACATGGATTTTTTAAATATTTTTTTTTTCATTGGCTCGGTTTTTTATTGTTTACATAGGCGTGGATTTTTAAATATTTTTATGGGCGTGAATTTAAAAAAAATCATTGGATTAACATAGACTTAATTCTACATACAGAAACCCTACGGTCCCGATCGGTCTTCTGTACACAGTATTCCTATTATTTTTGTTCTTCTATAATAGTTATTTATTTTATATATAGGATTATATTTATATTTAATTTAATATGTTCCTATTTATTTGTGTAATCTAAAACATATGAATAAAAATTGCATATGTTTCCCTCCATTACAATCGCACAACAAATGGCTACTCTAATAGAGAGCTTAATCGAATATCCTCTAACATTTATTTTCTTTTTTCATCCTCTTGCAGGATATTTTGAACACTCGTTTGGATAAACGCGTTGATGCCATGCTCGAACAGGGGTTACTGCGTGAAATACGAGCCTTTCACAACGAACATAATGTGAACAAAAGGTGGGTTCTAATACGCTAAGGCTTTTGTCATCAAGTAGTAGTAGCCGTCGTCGTCGTCGTAGTAGACTACTATTAATCATACATATTGCTGTTTTGTTCTCATTCCTTCAAATCCTCCAAACAAAATGGACATAATCACTTTCCATAAATCATATCGATACTAAATTACTATTTTATCCTTACTAATCGTGGTATTTTCTTCCTTTCGCTCTCTATTGTTACATCAATCCCACAAAAAAAAAATACTTTTCCGTGTATGCCTGTCGAATTATATGGACAAATTAATGTGGACCGGAATACATCAACAACAGTGCGGAATATACTAAAGGCGTTCTGCAAACAATTGGCTACAAAGAATTTGTACCATATCTAGAACGATTTAATGCGGAAAATGATGATAGAATTGAGGAGTATTTACGAAAGAATTCGTACCAAATGCCAAGTGAAGGTGAGTGAAAAAATTATGAATTAATTTAAAATAATAGCATACATTTAAAAAATAGCATACATCATTTGATAAAAATTTGCTATGCCAGAAATAGAATTGTAGAATTTGTTATCCCGGGTTCATAGAGGGCAAAAAACATATTTGCGGAATATTTGAAACATGGGTCTATGCTTTGACATAGGACACCTAAAAAAATATAGGTATTTCGACAGTCTCATGATAAAAATAGAAATAGAATTGTAGAATTTGTTATCCCGGGTTCATAGAGAACAAAAAAACATATTTGCGGAATATTTGAAACAGGGGTCTATGCTATGACATAGGACCCCTATAAAAATATAGGTATTTCGACAGTCTCATGATAAAAAACTCATAGGAAACAATTCCATTTTCATGTATTTCCTATGCGTACCTCATGATGAAGGGTATACAAAGTTCTACTCGCCCGATAGGTTAATATAAAAAATCAGTTCGAAAGCGATACTTAGTATTAGAATATTTCTTGATGAGGATAGGAAAGTCTGGCTCAAGAGGTCATTCTTCATAACGTGATATTTTGCAACTCTATGAATCTAATCACTGGATCTTACATCTAACGTAGGTTTTTTTCTTCTCAACATCCATGTTACAAGTTGTTGTCTTCTGCTTGATCTCATCCATTCTCACAACGTAGTCGCTGGAGCTCGATCCGTTTGACTATGTCCATGTTCGAGAATATATGGTATAGCTCATGGTTCATTCTACGACGATACTCACCGTCGATGCAGATCTGTACATAGATCTTCCGGAGAATTTTTCTCTCAAACACTCCAAGAGCTGTCTCATCTGTACCCATACTTCAGATCCATATAACAGCACGGGTAATATCAGCGTCTTATAGAGTGTGAGCTTGGTCCTTTCCGACTTTAACTGCTAACCATGCGCCAGTTAAAGTTATCCTGTGCGCAGTTATCCTGAGCGCAGACATGACAGTAAATACCTATGAACCGATAGGGCTGTCGAATGCGGCTTTATAGTCGACGAATAGATGGATTGTGGCGATGTGTTTTTGTGGGTGTTTTTCAGGTCATTGGTGGATTTGCCAGGCCTGAAGCCGCATTGATATGGTCCAATAATGTCACTGACCATTGGCTTCAATCGTTCACAGGAAGGAGACTTATTCCTTTATAGTTGGCAAGTATCGTCTTGTATCCTTTTTTGTGCACGGGACACAGGTGATGAGGTTACAATCCTGGGGCATGAATTCCTCTAGCCAAATTGTACTAATTAGTTGGTGCATGCTCCCGACCAGCATCTATCTTGAATAGTTCGGCTCCATCCATCGGCACCTGCTGTTTATTGTTCTTCAGCCGATTGTCAATTGCTACTCTGACCTCACCTTGTGTAGGTGGTATAAACTCTATACCGTACTCTATTATTGGTTCTGGGGTATCTTCTTCCCCGCCACTATTTAATACCAGGATTTTTTTAAAATGCACCTTCCAAATCCTCAACACGCTGTCTGTATCTGTCACCAGGTTTCTATCTTCATCTCTGATGAAGATGTGCCTGAACCAAAGCCTTCGGTTTGGTGTTTGAGTCATTGAGAGACTATTCATTGAGAGACTATTCACAAAAAAAAAACCAGCAGATAATGTTTGAGAATGTTTGATGTTGATATACACGCGTGTGTAATGAAAAAAAAATATTTTTTATTATTACTATGTAAGGTAATTGCCAGAAAAATGGAAAAAATGTTGTTAAGTTCGATCCGGTCGAACTTTTTATACCCTCCATCAAGAGATATGTATTCAAAATTCCTTTAATCGGTATGGATCTTTATATGGTTTTGCTAGTAGTATAGTAGACTGGTCTAAGAACTTCCACATACTGTAAATTAAGCGGGGTATTTGTAGGGAACTACAAAAACATGGACCTATACTGACAATTTTATGGGAAGAAACTTTATATTCAATTTGAATGCCTTAAAAATATCGAAAATGTGTCAGTACCATTTTATAGGGTCATAACATGGTTTTATATTGAAACATTTCTGCTAATATTTTCCACGAATCCGAAATGGGGCAATGTTAAGACATATACATATGGGATCTATATCCGAACGTGAAACGAGAATATTCCGAAAAATTTGAGGTAATGTTATATGGGGACTACACCAAGACATGGGTCAATATTGATCCCTTTTATTGATTATTGTCTTATTTGTATTAAATGTAGCTTCTCTTAGAATTCGACCTAACCAATCATCCCCTTTATAATTCATCTCTCTCTATTTTATTACTTTATTAGAAGTCTTCAAACAATATGTAGGCTCCAAAGGCGAACCACCCGAAACAGCAAACGCAGACGCAGCAACAACAGCCATCGAAACAATTGATCCTAAAGATCATTTACCTCCCGGCTTGGATGTTTTGAATTCTTGCCTGAATGAATTGAAATTAGTTACGCGTCGCTATTCAAAGAAACAACAAAAATGGATTAACAATCGCTTCTTAGCCAGCCGTGATCGTCAAGTACCCGATATCTATGAATTGGATACCAGTGATGTTAGTCGTTGGCGCGAGTGCGTCTATACACCGGCTGTCACGATAATTGATTGCTATCGTTCGTCACAAGTGTGTGAGATCCAGCCAATGCCGAAGAGAACACATCCGGGAGCGGGCTTAAATGAAGAGGTATGTAGAAAATATAATAATAGAGAATATAATAGATTATCATTATTATTATAACTTTGAGTGTAATACATTTTACACAAAAACGGAAATCATTCATTTACATACACATCCACTTTTCTATATATAAATTTGTACGTACACATTTCATTATGGAGGAAAAGTTTAGATGTTGTTGTTCTGATTGTTTAATAGATTGAAGAACCAAATTATATAATTTGTATGTGAGAACGTATAGCTATAATTTAACAAAAGAAAATACGTCGTCAAGTTCAGCGGGCCGAACTTGTATACCCTCCTCAGTGAGTTGGGCATTTCAAATATATAAAATCGGTTGGAACATACGAGACCTATTTCATATTGTTAATTATCTACCAGGAGGTTTTTCACATTCTGATAAGATGAAAACTCATGGAAATACCTTATCACAATCAAAGAGGTTGGTAAATTCGGCTAGGACATATTTGGATATTTTGGGTACGTTTTCAATCCTACCTATAATTTTAAATATCTGTCCAAGTTTTGGTATAGTTCATTTTATCTCCAGAATGGCTGTCATTTGACATTATAGGTGCTTGGAGGTTGAACAACATGTTTGCAAAAACTTTTCGATATTCACCCACGTTTTGGTATATATTTGTATGGTTTTAGCTGCATCATCCATCCGACGTACCTGTAATTTGGCATTTTGGAAGCTTGGAGAAATATCCAGCCCAAGTTAATTATTTCTTAGCATTCCGAGTTTTTGGAGAGTGGTTAATTTATGGTTAATTTATCCTTGATGTTGTTAAGGGCTTTATCAGAATTTTGCCAACCAATAAGGCTGCAACTTGGCATTTCAGTTTTTCATGTCATAGACCTCATCTTGACCTTTGGAGTTTGTATGGGATTTGTAGCCGTATTTTCCAACTGAGGGATCTGTAATTGGGCTTTCTAGGTTTTTGGAGTTGAAAACCATATTTGCAGACAATGTTCGATAGGAGTCAATGTTTTGACATAGCCCTCATATAAATATACGGTCTCATTTTTTGGAAGTTCTTGACCACATTTTCCGACCAAAGTAAATGTACTATATTTAGAAAATTATCAATATATACACTTTGCTACGACAAAAATGTGCCTCATCAAAATATTGGTTTTAGGCCCAATGTTTCTTTGAACCAAATCCGTTTCAGACAATTTGGCTGGAGCTCACGATAAATCTCGAAGGGAGTAACCGATATCACCCAACTTTGCATAGCGTAATTTCTTCCAAACTTAGTTCAAGTTATTTTTGTCGGTTTTTCTGATCACTCCATAGGCCGCAATTATGGCCCAAACACCGCGAATTTTTGCATGGAGAAGGGGATCGGGCCAAAGAATAAGTATGCATTTTTTGATAAAGATCGGTCAATATTTAGCGGGTCAAATGGACCCTGACTTTTGTGTGAAAAATTACAAAATTTGTATTCTATGGGGTATATATTTGCACCTGAAGTTGATAGTATGTTCAAGAGGAGTGGTTGACCTTTAAATTGATACCAATTATATTGTCGTATGTACTCGGATGCTGGACTTACACATAAATATGTACAGGTGCTTACGAATTCATATATTATTTAGTAACCCATTACCATACTAGAGGGCCATAGCGCTGATGGCTTTGAAATTTTCCATGAGGTTCAAGTTACGGTCATCGACAACGCCTATAATTTTCGGTGATGATCAGACAATAATTTTGGGATGAAGTGAACCGAAAACTTATTTTTTTGGTGTTTTTTTTTTTTTTTTTTTTGAGTCGATCTATAGGCCAAAATTGAAAGCCGAACATCACAACACAACCCATGGTGAAGGGAATCTGGACAAGTGATTAGAAGGGCTGTACTGAATATTTTTAATATTTCTTGACCTCTAGTCGGTCCAGAGTGTGGGAATATCGCGAAATATAGAACCACAGAATATAGAAACCTTACTGAGTACGTGTATGTTAATAATATCAAACTTTCCAATGAAAATTTCAGATAGCATTCGGCAACAAATGGTGGAGCATAGGGTATATATTTATATAGCAACTCTCGCTCTATATGTTGAATGGTATACAAATTTGAAGTCCAAAATTATCCTAACAAACTTCGAATAAATTACATCCCTCTCATTTCCCCGTTTATCACCTTCACCTTTAAATATCAATCACCCTATCCCGATAAAATCCCATACTAACAACCATTTTCCGTAACTCTTTTTAGACAACAAACTTTTGCGATATCTGTCAGCGACATTTCATTGGTGAATATCAATGGCATTTGCATTTAAAATCGAATCGGCATAAAAAACGCAAGGAAACCCTAAAGAAAAAAGAAGCTGACCAAGGAGCTTCACTGGATAAAGAACAATAAAAATGCATTTAATACAATTTTCACTTTCAAAATATTTTGAAATAAACAAAATGTTGATTTTATTGTCCAATTTTTTGTATGTTTTGTTTTTTTTTACAAATAGAATTTGGTTTGTGTGATGAATTTTGGTTTGTAATTAATAATGTACATATACATCAATATAGAGATAGAATAACAGCGTTAAATTTTTTGTTTTTACAAATTAAACAACAAACTTAATTTATATATAAAATATTTTTTGATAAATAACAACTTTTCAATATATAATATAATAAATACTAAGCAGATTGGGGATGCGACGAGGATGTCATAAAGCCGAATTGTACTGAGCCGTTGTTGCGATTAAAAATAGAAACAAATATATTATATAATTTTAAATATAATAAAAATGTATCGAGGTAAATTTCTGAATTGTTTTTGAGCTCCATATCTATGGAGAGAATATTACACCATCAAAAAATGATTTCGCCTTCGCATCCCTAAAATTATTAGTAGATGTTTTATTTTTGTTTTCCATTTCATTAGAATAGTTTTTTGTTAACACATTAAACATAGTTATAGTGGATGAATTATATATTTAGTGTATTCTAGTTTATTTTGTTTTCGCTTCGTTTGTAGAGATTTTATAATGTTAAACATTATTTATGTGATTAATTTGTCTTTGTTTTTTCTTCACTTATATATTAGCATTATTTATTTTTTGAAATTATTTACTATAAAAAATTTTAAAATACCAATTATTGAATATTTAAACTATAAATGGATATTTTGCATCGCATTTTAAATTTGTGAATTTACTAAAATCATTAGTAACAAGAAATATTGACGGTTCTGACGCGGAAGCTTCAAAATTTGACAGATAATAACATTCCTTTATAAATAAGAATGAGATTAGATGTTTTTTGCTTAAGGGGACCCCCCCATTCTCGGGGTCAAAATTTTTGTTGACTTAATTCCAATCTACACTAATTCAAGAATGTCCCTGCAAAATTTCAAGTAAAAATCTCAAGAAATCTTGAAGATATAGCCGATTTATTGTGTCAGCATCAAGTGACGGCTGAAGGGCTTCTCAAACTTTAAACGCGTTTTTCTCTAAACATTTTTTTGCGAATGGCGGGCACGATAACTCAAAAACTAATAACCCAATCGATTTCAAATTTTTACACGTTTCTCTGTGAGTGTATAGCTATCGTATGAAATAGGATAAAGCCAATCGGTGAAGATCTTCCTTATTTTTTAACTTGGTTTTTGGTAAAAAATCGGCGATTTTCCAAAAATATTTTTTCAAAGTTCCGCCATTTTGTTAATTTTATAGCGAAGTCAATAATCCTAGTTCATGCCAGACATGTACTCTTTCTAACACCGTTGGAATTTTCGGATTCCGATGTTTGGAGTTATCATGCCCGCCATCAAAAATAAGGACTTTTCTTTGATTACAAAAAACAACAACAAAACAACAACAAAAATTTTTTGTAAATTATTTTTCTTCTTTTTTAAATCTTCAAATATATATGTGCGAAGTTACAAACCTTAACAAGCATTGGTATTCATTTACCAGCCCATTTAAAATCTTAAAAATAAAAAATCGAGAATGGGGGGGGGGTTCCCTTAAAAAATAATAAACCAGTAAGCGGAGCAGTATATGATACCCCACACAACTACCACGATAATCTAACTTTCTGCTGTTCTATATTCTGAGCCTGGGCTATATTTGGGTTTATTTGCACCCCCTTGACCGATTATAGGTCAACAGCTTTACTTTCTATCCCTGGCATATTTCCAAATCTGGTTTTCCCGAAGTGAATATTTACGCCATAAAATAATAAATTGTTCATCATCTAAACAGCCTTTCTAAGTATTTGTCAGATCCTCTTCACCGTGTAAAATATGTGATTTTCTGCATATAATAATTGCCTATAGAGCGATTAGAAAATCTGACAAATATAAAATTGTCGGTGCATTGTACCCCCTAAATATAATCTCAATATCACCGAAAATTATGGGCGTCGTCCTTGAGCATTACTGGAACATCCAGGAAAATGTCCTAGCCATTAGCGCTATATTTCCGGCCTCTAGGGTGCTAATAAATACTAAACAATATCAACATAGGTAAAACCCTGTGAATATTAACGTGTAACGCCCATATAGAGTAGAGAGAACAATAAAATCGGTATCAATTTAAATGTCAACCACTCCTCTTGGATATACTGTCAATGCATTCGATCTATCATTTCGACTCTTCACACAAAAGTGAGGGTCCATTTAACCCGCTAAATATTGACCGATCTTTATCACAATAGGCATGCTTATTCTTTGGTCAGATCCTCTTTCTCCATGTAAAATTTCGTGATGTTCGTGGCATAATTGCGGCCTCTAAAGCGACCAGAAAAACAGACAAAAATTAAGTATTTGATCCATTTCATCCCTTCAATATTAAAGGATCATTTCCAAAAACAATATTTGTCAGAACCGGTCAAAAAATTCGTGAAGATTAGTCCATAACTCTGGCTTGTATCGTGTTTACAAATTATAATGGACGCACACAGATGTCTAGATCGACTCAGCTAGTCGATATATGACGATCGGCACTTAAAGGTGGGTCTAGGACCAAAATTTTGCTCCGTTACAAACTCTTGGGGCTGCACAAAGCTATAATATCCGGACAACATAGTAGGGTATGGAATAATTAAATAAACATACAAAAAATCAATTTTTTGAAATCTAGAGAGTATGGGGTATCCCTTTAAAATCTAAATAGCATGGGGGTACTATATACCATAAATGTGGAGGATCATGAACATTGGTTTTGGAATGTGCCTCATCGAAATATTTGCTTAGATCCCAACATTTTTTGAATCGAATCAGTTTCCGACAATTTGGAGTCAGTCCGTCTATCTGTCCCGCTGCCGCAACATTCTGGACAGAGAACATATCAAGGGGTCGATTGGTACTCAAATTTTTGGGAAAAAATTCTGTCCGGCTGTACTACTCCGCTTATAACGGTAGGTAATTAAGATATAAGGGGGTTGGAAATTTGTCCTATGATACATTATTGTAAGCATAATTAGTTTTGTATATAGTATCGCCCTGGATTAAATCGTTTTTAGAGTACAACATAGTTCGCAAAATTCTGAATACTAGTAAAAACTTCAAAATCAGATCTCAATCGTTAAAGCCAATCAGATGTTAGGATTCCTGAATACCGTCTTTATTCGATGAAATGTCTCGAGTAAGAGTTAATAGAGACAACTAGTATTGTGGGTACATTTCAGTTTGTCAAGTAATAGGTAGTAAAAATTGTAAAGTAGAACCTATAGGAACAGAACTACTATTACGCGTGTAATCATATCAAAACGTTAAAAGCTTAGTGGGATTGCTGATCGGGTGGTCGTAGCCATCACATAATGTATCACAATCGGAGAAGTATTATTAGGAAATCTGTGACAGATGAATTTTAGATATATAAAATTATTAAATATAAAATGCAGATTTGCCTTTACGCTTTGGCCAATATCCATTTATTGTTAATATATTCGATAATTATGGAAAATTAGAAAATAGGAATTCATTTGTATATAGATTTAATTAAAATTTTAATTAATACATTTATAAACTTTTATGAAATAAATATGATTTTCGTAATTTTTATTATTCTTATACTTTGTTTAAAACAATTATTGTTAATTATATTCTTTTAAGTTTCCCAATAACGTTTTTATACACTAAATGATGGCATTTGATGTTGGATGTTATATCATATAATTTATATTTCTATATATTTTAGTACTATATGGTAATAGTTATTCTAAAATAAAATGATTTATTTATATGGTCTAAATTCAGGTTGATTTTCTTTTTTTTAATATATGGAATATATGTTTTGTTATTGTTATTTTTTAATGAACGACGGTCTCAATTCGTTTATGTTTAACTATATATATTTTTTATATAACATTTATATATGTCTTCTTTTTAAATCATTTATGATTTCGTATTATTTTTTATTTGTGCATATGTATTTTTGTTGGTTTTTATTTACGAGCTATATATTTTTATGATCACATTTCAATAAGCAAAATTAACATTTAGATGGTATTTTAAAAATGTATTTTTATTTATATGTAATAAAATGTAGTATAATAAAATTAGGGTGTTATTTTTTTCAAATGTAATGAATTTACATATAAATTTATAAAAGGGAGAAAGTCTCATTTTTTTTGTAAAAATCAAATTAATACAGTCAAATAAATATTTTGTATCTATTATTCAATTTTATTATACATTACACCTTTAATAAAAAAACATGTAAAGTGTGGATTTTTAAATTAAACACATTATTGTTGTATTCTTAAATCCCGATTGAAAAATAAGATTTAAATATATATACATTGATAGAAGGTATACCTAACACTTTAACACCTCGAAATATTCGTCAGATATCAGAACTTTGAAAACATACACCTAATATTAATATTATTAGTAATTTTGGTAATTAAAATTAAACATGCTCATCCCAAATGAATGTGTCACTCGATTTTAAGTATTTATAAAGTTTCAAATACATCCAGTAATGTTGTATTTTCGGTTTCCAGATGATAAAAAAGTCTCACGGCTCCGCCTGCTTATATGTATATTGAACGGTCTCAGAGACTAATAAAACTCATTAATTTTGTTGACATACACATTTGTTCTTTTCAAAAGAAGAATGGCTATAATTTGCCACCATAGCAGTTAAGAGGATGAACATCTACTTCGCAATATAGGTTATGTATGCTACTTACTTAATTAGCTGGCTTGTGACAGAACATCTTATGGAACAGCCGTTCTGTCACAAGCCGAGCTTAAAGAAGATTTCCAAGCACATCGGCCTTGTGCGCAGCTCATCCAATTTGTAAGCAGCTCATCCAACCATGTTCCGAGATTTTGTCTTCTACTACCACCACTTTGCTCGCTTTTCTATGTCTTTTGAGCTGGGGCATCCTTATCCATTTCTCATAACATGGCCGAACCAACGTTGTCGCTGCAGCTCGATCCGTTTGAATATGTCGATGTCCGAGAAAAGATGGTACAGCTCATGGTTCATTCGACGACTATATTCAACGTCGACGCAGATCGGCCTATAAATCTTCCGGAGAATTTTTATCTCAAACACTTTAAGACCTGCCTCATCTGTTTGCGCAGGTACCCATGTGTCAGATCCATATAACAGCAACGTCTTGCATAGTGTGAGTTTGTTCTGGCGAGAGGTGGCATTGGTTTAGAGTTGCTTACTCAGACCATTGCAACATCTGTTGGCCAACACTATTCTTCTCCGGCGGTACCGAGTTATATAAAATCGATTACTACCTCGAAGCTGTGGTGTTCAGGTTCCCCAGATGGTCCGGGTCTACTGGACGTCTTGCTCATTGATACCATCAGCATGGTCTTTTCGCCATTTACTGCCAGTCCCACCTTGGCAGACTAGAGAACATTTGCGAGTGGCTGTTACCGCTCGCAATGTTCGACCCATTATGTCGATGTCGGCGTAGGCAGTAACATATGCTGTTTGGTGTGCAGATTTCTGTTCACATTTGCATCTTGTCTGACCTTTTCCAGAAGGATGTTAAAAAGGTCATACGACAATCTGTCACCTTGTCTAAATCCTCGTTCGGTATTGAAGGGCTCCGAGAGGTCTTTTCCGACTTTAACATCTGACCTTGTACCAGTTAAAGTTATCATAAATAGCCGTATTATTTTGCAGGAATGCCGAACGCAGACATGGCTTTAACACATCTGAAAGGATAGGGCTGTCGAATACGGCTTTATAGTCGACGAATAGGTGAAATGTGTCGATGTGTTTTCGTGTGTCTTTTTTCCAGGATTTGACGCAGAGTGAAAATCTGGTCAATAGTCGATTTGCCATGCCTGAAGATGTATTGGTATGCTCCAATTATGTCATTGACCATCGGGCATACATTCCTCTAGCCAAATTGTACTAATCAGCTGGTGCATGTTCCGGACCAGCATATGACCACCATTCTTAAATAGTTCGGTTGCTAATCCATCGGTACCTACCACTTTATTGTTCTTCAACCGATTAATTGCTACTCTGACATCATCTTGGCTATCTGCTTTAGAAAGCTCTTTCCAGATCCTCAACACACTATATGTATCTGTATCTCTAGAGGAGGATGTGCCTGCACCAAATCCTTCGTTGTGGTTTTTTACTCGTTGGTAAAATTACCGGACTTCATTCTGTACATATCGATTTGCTCACGCTCACGTTTTTCTTGTTCTGAAAATACGTTGCTCCTCTCTCTCCTTTTCTCCCGATAATTCTCCATCACATTACATGTTGCTACTGTCTGCAGGGTTGCCGTATACGCTGGGTTTTTCACATCAGTGGTGATGGTGTTGCTTTTGCTGCAGTTTGTAGGAAGTGGGTAATTCTATGCCATTGTGCTTCCATGTTATGATCGGGACAAGGAGTGCTTTCGTCAAGCAGGTGGGTAAGTTGTGTTTGCACAACAGGTAACTGTTACCTGTTGTGTTTGCAGCTTTTCGACGTCGAGTTTCCACGTTGTGTTAGATCGCAACTTTGCTGCTACACTAAGACGAGTGTGAACCTGGCCTGCTACAAGGTACTGATCCGAATCGATATTCGCTCCTCGGATGGATCGAATGTCTAGAATACTGGATGAATGCCTTCCGTCTATCTCAACATGATCAATTCAATTTCTCGTTGTTTGATCGGGAGAAATCCACGTGGCCTTGTGTATATCGAGATGATTGAATCTGGTGCTGTTAACTACCAAGTTTTTTGTGAAGTAAATCAACCTTATGTCATTGTCGGATGTGTCTTCATGGAGGCTGAATTTTCCGCCTGTGCGATCAAAAATATTGTTCCTTCCAATTTTTTGCATTAAAATGACCAACTCAGCGCTTATATGCTGCTTCTAGGCACTTGTAAAATATGTATTTGGTTTGTTCATATTTAATTCTCATTTAAATCTCTTATTTTTTTCTTTTTTATCAATCGAAGTTGTTTATCTAAGATAAAAAATATAGTTTCAATGTAAGCCCATAAGTCCAGAAGTTTGTGGAATTTTGCCATTTTAAAATAGACAGAATGTACTTGTACCTCAAGAATTTCTATAACGTAATATGAAAGGATACAATTTGTTGACTCTTCAACTTTTCAAAATTTGGAGAAATTGATAGAACTTACTCATTTTTAAGATCCCTCATAAAATTCGGAAATTATTTATATTACAAATTCATTAATTGTAATGGTGTAGGGTATATTCATTTTTTTCACTTGATCATTAACAAACATAATATTTTTAACCTTGCTAACAATTACTTTTTAATTATGTTGCAGTTTTTTTTTCACAAAGAATTAAATCAAAGTTTATCAACCTATAAAGTAGTAACAATATGATTTCGTTGGTATTTGTAATAATAGTATTAATAGGTATTCTTTTAGTTAATTATTATGATATAAGATATGTTATTTCCACTCATTATTTCAATGCCTGACAATAGCCCAAATTTGATATTAAATTTCCTTCAATATTTTCGAGCCTACACGCGCTTACACAAAAATTTACGTTTCTTCTTCTAGGATTACATTCGACAACAGAAAAAAACTGAACTGAAATATGAACGCCAGCAAAACAAAAAAAAACATAGAACGCATTTTCGGAAATATTTTTTGTAAAGCATTCTTGGGTGTACATTTTTTAAATGATTTTTTTAATATTCAAATTTCGAATTTAAATTTGCTGATATTGCTTTTGTTTTCTTTTTTTACTCATTGGCATGCATTCAATTAAAAAGAAAAAAATAAAATGCATGTAGCTGCAATGTCTTGAATAGTTTTTATGTCTGTCCATTTTTTGGGGTGTTGGGATGTTTACATTTTATTTTTTATGGATGATGAAACCAATATCTGGTTTTTTGTAATACCTAAATTTAATTTTAACACTTGGTTTTTTCTTTACTTCTTCTCTTAGTTTTTTTTTTTTTTTGTTTTTTTTTTCTTGTACAGTCTTATTTGACTATTTTTTATGTTATTATTTTTTGTATATATTTATTTGATGATTTCAATGTTATAGGAGTTTATTGTCATTTACAATTAATTAATAATATAACATAAAATAAATGTTCCATAATTATTGTCACGTTTTTATTTTATATATAAGATACTGTCAAAATAATATAAGGAATCTTTTAACAAAATAGTATCTTAAGTTATAAAACCTTTGATCGATAGTTTTCCTATTGAAAACCCATGGCATTTTGTAGTGACTGTGAAACATTTTTCTAAATCAAAAAATAACTCAGACACTGAGGTCTGATTTTTTTTCGTAAAAAAAAATCATACCTCAGAAACGGAGATCTAATTTGTTTCTATTTTTTTCTCAGGCACTGAGGTCTGAATTTTTATAGAAAAAAATACCTCAGACACTGAGGTCTGATACTTTTCTATAGACAAAATACCTCAGACTCTGTGGTCTGATTTTTTCTATAGAAAAAATATCTCAGACACTGAGGTCTGATTTTTTCTATAGAAAAAAAACCTCAGAGACGGTGGTCTGATTTTTTTTCTACAGAAAACAAAATATCTCAGACACAGAGTTCGAATTTTGATGTTTAGTTTTTTTTTTTAGAAAAAAATACATCGGTAATGAGTTTTGATTTGTTCTATAGAAAAAAATCAGACCTCAGTGTCTGAGGTATTTTTTTTTCTATAGAAAAAAATTCCCCAGACACTGAGGTCTGATTTTTTCTATAGGAAAATATACCCCAGACACTGATGTCTGATTTTTTCTATAGAAAAACAAATACCCCAGACACTAAGGTCTGATGTTTTTCTATAGAAAAAAATTCTTCGGACATTGAGATCTGATTTCTTTCTATAGAAAAAAACCTCATTGACTAATGTCTGATTTTATTTGTCCTCATCTGGTTCTACATTTCTTGAACTTAGAATTGGGTTTTTATAGAAAAAACCCCTCTTTTAAGTTTTATAACTTAAGCAGGAATTTTCTGATACGTCATTTTTTATGTCGGTGGCGCATGTTTGTCTTTGGTTTGTTGTTATTTTTGTTTTTCTTTTGTATTGTATGTTTATACAAATAAACTAATAAATATATATGTATAAAGTTATATATATAATATATATAGGATTTTTAATAGTATTTATCATAATAATATATAATACATAACAAGGTATTTAGTTTTTTTGTATATTCATATAAGAGATGCAGTATAGGTTTGTATGTAGGTATGATTTATCTAAAACAATATTCAGCATATTTACATGATTTGTTATTTTCTTATTGTTTTTCTTTTTTTATTATAGTATTTGATCACTCTAAAGGAGTGCGGAGGAGAAGGTGTTGGCTCTACAATATATATATATATATTTATGTTTATATAGTGTATGTTCTAGGCCGGTACGTATTGTTTTTGTGTCATATGTATGTTGTTTTGTTTTCTCTAAACTATTATGTTTATCTGTGATTTAACTTAGAGTTAACTAAGGTAATTGTTATATTTTTGGTATTGTTTGTTTTGTTTTCTAATGTATTTCAGTTAAATGGATCTTTGACAAACTGTTTTGAACTTTTTATTAATTATTTGTTTTATTACTTTTTTACTCATCCTCTTCCTCCAGGGATTTCTCTGGTAAACCATATTTCGGACAGCACATGCCCTCAGTACCATCCATATTGAAACAGAATATGGTACGCTCCAGTTCGGTTGGCTCATGTGGCACAATACCATGAACCTCTTTAAGCTCAGCCTCCGGGAACCAAGCAGGATCGGAATCTTCAACCACTTTGATGCCCAATAATCTTCAAAATAGAAAAAAAGTTATAAATAAAATTATACATTCCAAAAAAAACATCAGGTAAGTTTCTTTTGTTTTTTTACCTTAATATAGCCACAATCGGTATCCATAATATCGATGATAATATCAGTATAAAGGCAATAACTATACACCAATGTGGCCATTCCATTTTCTCGGTCATACCCTTGGCAGCTATCCATGCGGGATAACTACTGCCCTCTGTCAATAATTGATAAAATGAGGCAATTAGAATTGTTATCATGGCACATGGTGATAAATATTTCCAACAGAACATCCAATACATATTTGGCCTCGAACCGGTCATCATTTCAATGTCATCGGAAAATCTAGAAAATTGGAATGTTTTTTGTTTTAAAATGGCGAGGCACTGAATTAAATATTTTTTCAATATTATTTTTTTTTTTTAATATTATCGGGCACATTCGGCAAAGGAAGTTTGTTTGTTCTGTAAAAATATCTCTGTAAGAGAAGAATTATTGTTTTATATAAAAAATTACTCCGTACCGGAGGACTTATTTTTTACATAGAAACCAGTAAGGAAAGTAGACTGGGCCGACTATATGATACCTTTCACCACCTTGGGTTTATTCTATATATGTATCCTAACAATTTCCTTCGAGGGAACATTGACATGAAATTGAACGAACCAAAATATGTGATCTTTGTCTGTACGTGAGCCGACTACCATTAATCCATACATGTGCCTTTCTGCAACCTATGCTACATTTCATATCATTACGACAAATTTAGAGTCGAAAGCGTACAATAGGACAAATTTGTGTAAATCGATTTATAGCCAATTCGATACACACTATTCGGTATTCCGCACTATTAAACTTGTTAACATTCAATCGAAATATATATGGAAGTTTTGCCTGAATATGCAACAATTTCTCAATTTGATACGTTGTGCAAAATTTCGTGTCAATCGGACAAACATTTTTGGTGCACCATTTACATAAAATCGTACGAAATTATATATGGGAGCTATATCAAAATCTGAACCGATTTCAACAAATTTTCGTATACATAATATGGACCTAATTCAGTGCAGAATTTTGTCTAAAGGGACCAATATTGGGAGTTTGGTGCACCATTTACATAAAATCGGACGAAACTATATATGTGAGCTATATGTTAATCTGAACCGATTTCAACAAAAATTGGCATATATCAATATAGACCTAATTCAGTGCTCTGTGCAAAATTTTGTCTCAATCGGAGAATATTGGGAGTTTATATTTAATATATATTTAAATCTGAACCGATTTTCTCCAATTTCAATAGGGTTCGTCCTTGTGCTAAATAAGTGGCATGTCCCAAATTTTATCCAAATCGATTTATTCTTAAGATATTTTTTTTACAGTGTAAACACCTGGAATTCCAGTTCTCTGTTAGAAGGGATTTATTTACAAAAACCTCTTTTCAATAAAAAATGTCTGATGGAAAAAATCTAACCTAGAAACCAGAACTCTATTTTTAGTATGGAAAAGAAATTCCCCTGTAACTATGATCTCACTTTTGTCTATAGGGAAAAATCCTCAATACTGTATAAAAACAGAGCTGTAAAATGCATAAGCTGACAGGAAATCGGGACTGGGATTTTTCATTGAAAAACTGAACATTTCCTGTGCCACTGGCCAGCCTTTTCATGCTTCCGAATCCAATTCCAAGGAAATTACACCTTTACTCAAATAACCGGCCTAAGGGGATGTGAATGGAAAAAAATGAATAACTTTACTAACAAAACAGAATTTCTAGACTTTATGACAATAAAATTCAAAGATGACTTCCTCTATGTTTCTTCCTTCTCTAGAGCGCACAATAGGTTACTTACAGGCTAAGTGTATGTCCCAATATGGACATGTGGTGGTGTAAACCACTCCTCTTATCAATCTAACCTAACCTAAGGTGGGTGTTACACCAACACATTGACCAATTTTAAAAATATCCATTATACAGAATATTAGGCTATAGCGTTATATGGGAGCTATACCAAAACGTGGATCAATATACTGCATTTGAAATACGATACACCCTAGGAGTAATAGAAATTTCAGTGCACATTTTCGAAGCTATATCTTAAATGTTGCAGACAGTCGGACATAGTTAAATCGAAATAGTATTTTATTCTCATCGAGAAAATATTCTTTATGGGTCTTCAACGAATCAGTCGAGTTGTTGTAAGCAGAATGACAAATTTAATATTGATCGATGTCTATAAAAAACCTCAATGTCGGAGGAATGATTTTTACAGGACAAGAATCCTGAGTCATTAGAAGATTTTTTTTAAATCTCGTATTAAAATTCTGCCCTCAAAACCTGTAGATAATACTTCAGTAAAAAATAAGTTTTTACAGAAAAAACTAGATTATAAAAAAAATTCTCAGCAATGTAGGTTGTCTTATAAAAAATATATTCCTCAAGCTTCCGTCACTATTTTTTTCTTTAGAAAATATGTCTCTGTCGAGCTCTGATTATTCTACCAATAACTATGATCTATGCCTTTTTAATGATTTTTTTAAAGAAAAATATTCGATAGTAGAAAAAAATGTCTGATACAAAAACTCTGGAAATAAATTATTTTCTACAGCAAAATAATGGACTTTACATATAAACAACTTTGACGTTAAATTTGCCCTATTCAAAAAATCCTCCTACATATAGGGTCCCTTTAATTTATTTGAAACAAAAAAATGCACAGCCTCTTAACATTGACATTTTCTATAGTAAAATATTCGAGTTCCTATATATATTTTCTTCAATATACCCACCTTCTTATTCCATAAATATAACTGATCGACAAGCATTCAAATAATGCAATAATCAGCAATGGGAAATTTCCGGCAAAACTGTCCATTAATTGGAAAATATAACTACCGGCACCGTTTGCAAAACTCATCGATATCAGGCAGCAGGAGAAGCATAGACCCTGAAATCACAATAGAAAATTATTACGCATTCCTAAGCACTGTTTTATAATACACTATACATACTCCCACAATATATTCCTTGGGTAAATTTGGAAATAGCTTCATATCCACCAACGATGTGACAACTCCTTCCAAAGTTCCAAACTGAGAATCTATACCCAGTGTAAATAACATTAGGAAGAATAAAACAGCCCATAACTGAGAGCCAGGGAATTGATTTATTGCCTCGGTAAAAATAATGAAGGCCAAACCGGTGCCAGAGGCACTCTGAAAAAAATATTAAAAAGAAAAAATATAAAAATATAGGTGTAATGGGAGTATTTTTTATTTTGACCAACTTTTTCAGTAGTGCTTTATACATACTTACATTTGCCAATTCTCGTTCCAAATCACACACCGGCAATGTGACATTTTTATTTAATGCTATCAACTCAGCCCTCTCTTCATTGCAACGATCAAATGTTGCCGTGGCCTTAAAACCAATAACCGAAAATACAACAACACCAGCAAACATTGACGTACCACAATTGGTTAAAGAAACCAGAATGGCATCACGATAACAATTATTATTGGCGGGATTGTAGGAGCTAAAAGCGATTAGACCACCAAATGCCAAACCCAAGGAAAAGAAAATTTGTGTCCCCGCCTCTAACCACACTACCGGATCCAGTAGTGTTTCCCAGCGAGGTGTAAACAAGTGGGCCACACCATCAGAGGCACCTGGAAAAATAAATCAGTTATTAACAAAATTTCAAAAATAATACAAATATTTTTTTTATTTAAATATAATTTTCAAATTATGCACGACTTAATTTTCAATCACGAATTGACTCATCAACGTACCGTGATTGGTACAATTGGACGAGCTAGGCGTAAATGGAAACGCTTATATCATTGGTTTCCAAATGAGCAGAATCGCTTGTATTCGGAGATGGATCGTATTTATAAGGACGTCCAAGGAAAATACGATGAAGAAGAGTTTAAGACATTTGCTCGAGACAAACGTTTGAACAAGAGGTTATTTAGTGGAACTGCTGAGGAGTATGAGAACAAGAGAGACGCTTGTAAATTGAAATTATTTTATCCAGACACGGAGAAAAATATACGACTGGCCATGAAGGACTATAGAGGAAAATGCTCAGATCCACGTTTCAAATGTAAACATTAATGTTGTGACTTTCCAAACAAATAAACTGTATTTTCAATAAAGGAAATCCAGAGAAGCCAAGACGGGTCCTTCTCACACACTGGGAAAAATTTTTCTACCGAAAAAAGTCAACTCCTAGTTACTGAGAATTATTGCCAGACATACATATATAAAAATGTTACTGAGGAATTTTATATTGAAAAAAAATCAGTTCTCAATTTCTGCGGAATAGAAAGAATTAAAAATGTGATTATGTTCGGGGACACCGAATCATGTAAATTGGTCGGCATGTTTATATGATGACTAAGTTGTTTCAAATTACAGTCACTTGGTTGAGAAAATTTGGTTATAAACTTGGAAATACCGAAAATGGAGCTGAGACTTTTATAAGTGGCTATGTCAAGACATGGTGCTATATCGAAAGTGTATACCCTACAAGAACCCATATGCCAAATCACAGCCAATTATTTTTAAAATGTTGCAAATGGAGCAGGACCTTTATATGTGGCCTATTGCGGTGTACACACTAGCATTTTTGAATGGCACTCTTGCCCAAATTCTGCTTGTTTGATAGTGTGGCCTCACATATTTGTCATTCATCAGACAACCACAAAAATATTTATGGTTGTTGGACAGTCAGTAAAAAGTTAGCAGTCAAAAATGATAGTGTGTACACCGCTTATGTAAAAACATAAACCTATATCGATGATATTCTGCAATATAAAATGGGGAAATATGGTTAAAACCTTCAAACTAACGAAACAAGATCTATGTCAAGACATAGACCTATCGATCTATGAATGTGCCCAATGTCCTCAACACGTTGAAAGGTTGATAAAACTTTAGCCGAAGTTAATAATTTTTATTAGGAAAATAATTCATAATAAAAAATTATAACCATTTTTTTTGGAAAACATGTACATATTTATCAAAATATTTAAATTTGGCCAGCCTATATAGTGGATCAATATTTATAATTTTTAGTAGGAAGATTTGATGCCCAATGAAAAATAAAAAATATCTGTAAATATTTTTTGGGCAAAGTCCTAAAAATATGAAAGTTATATCTTAAATATTGCGAGCTCTAATTAGTGTAAACATGAGCATTTTATTACATTGATGTCACATTGCATTTTAGTTTGGACATTTGCCGTCTAATGGCGCTCCATGTATTTTCTATCAACCACAGTGTTTCAAGAGCAATTCACCACACTTGGTTCGGGTATATGCTACAGGTATGGGCCGCCAGCTGGCAGGTGGCTGAACTAAAATTTAATATGACACCCATACTAACACTATTCCTCCAAAGTGAAATCAACAAACCGACAGTCAGTCATGATCGGTTGAGAAATTTGTTAAGATTAAGAATGTATATGCTTTATAGGGTCTCCCGTAAATATTTGGAGGTGTTGTAAATGGAATGACAAATTTTATATACTCTTAATCTTATTATGGACTGTATAAAAATTCTTTCAGTACCCGATGGGGGTTTCAATATATTATAATTTAATTTTTAATTTCTGGTAGCAATATTTTACACCAAATAAGAGTCCAAAATATTAAATTATTTGTTTGAAAAAACGTGCTTAAAATGTCAAAGTTTTATCTTAAATATTGCGAGATATAAGTAGGGTAAATATGGAGATTATTTTAAAATGGAGATTATTTATTTCAGACAATTGCCGCCTGATGGCGTGCTGTGTGTTTCCTATCAACCATAAGGTTGTTTCACCACACTTGGTTCGGGTCTATGCTACAGATAAGGGGCTCCAGCTGGCAATTGGCTGAACTAAAATTTAATATCACATCATATTGATCATATCCCCATATTTACGGTACTAATCTATTGTGATTTCAAAAAACGAACATTCAGACATAATTGAGAGATTAAATCGGCATAGACACGGTGTTGCAGATTTGGAGCGCCATCTGACGGCAATTGGCAGAACTAAAATAGAATAAACAAACGGACAGTCGACATGATTGACAGATTGAATCGGTACAGACACAGTGTTAGAACTACAATTCAGAACCATACTTGGCTCTGGTCTATCTTTCAGACACGCAGCGCCAGTTGACGGTAATTGCCTGAACTAAATGGAATATGACACCATTATGATTAAATCCTCATATTTACTCTACTCCTCTATTGTGCTTTAAACACACGGACAGTCCGAAATGATTGACAGATTAAATCGGAATAGACATTTATATTTCACCTTATGGTGGACAATATATAATTCTCAGGGTCTGAGAAATATATTCTTTAAAAAAACGGAGTTTTTTTTTGAAAATTATCTCTGAGGATTAATTTTAGGACTAATTCTGAGTAAAAATACATCAATAATAGGATAAGGGGAATTTCGTATAGAAAAAAAAACAATAATTACTGACTGGGAATTTTTGTATAGACGAAAATTTCTCCCCTCAGTAGCTGAAGATTTTTATAAGAAAATAATTCTCCTTCTGGGCTGAGAATTTATTCATTTGAAATCAATAATCCTCAATAATGGAGGACGATTTTCTCTACTCAAAGGTTGAGATTTTTTGCTATATAAAAATCAAGGGCTGAGGGTTTTTTCTATAGGGACAAATCTTTTAACAAGGTTTGAAGTTTACACTGAGTATTGTATAGGAAAATCACTTACCTGTGATTGAGAAATAAAGAAAAAAATATTTTCTGTGTGTCTAAGGATTTTTTCTATAAGAGAAATTCTCTCCTCAGCATTTGAGGATTTTTTTTTTATATGGAAAATATTTAGACAGCGACTGAAATGTTTTTCTCTGGAAATAACTTTACAATTTATTCCTTAGAAATATTGTATAAAAAATCGTATTTCTGTGTCTTGATCTATACAAACTAATTTGATTGTCTCTATTGTAAAAAATATATTTTTATTGACATAATTTTTTCGGTAGGAAAAAGTGATTGAGAAATTTAGAATCAATTTCATTGGTGACAAAATAATTTTTTCTATAGGAAAAAATTTCTTCGCAGTTATTAATGATTATTTTTCAGTGAATGAAGATATTTGTTCTATAGAGAAATATTTTTTGACCGCGACTGAGATTTACCTTTATATATAAAGTCTTCCCAGTGACTTATGATTTTTTTCTGTAGAAAAATATATTATTTGTGGTAGACGATATTTTTTATTGGAAAACATTTATTCATAGAGATTTTAATTTTTTTCTGTAAGAAATAATCTCTCTGTTACTAAATTTTTTTTTGAAAAGATAGATATATGCTCCGTAGGTGATGGTTTTTTCTATAACAAAAATCCTCTTCTATAGGTTGGGACTTTTTATTTTTTCTCATTTAAACTTCCCGTTGGGAACTTTTTTCATTAAAAAAAATCTCTTCTCAAACATGTTTTTCATTTTCCTATCCATTCTAAGCGTCTATAAAGTTATCATCAACTCCATTATATTTCTGATTTTGTCAAAAATACTTCTTACTTACCCTTTAGTGTAATACCGCGAAAGAAAAATATGATCAATACCACATATGGAAATATTGCTGTTACATAGACGATTTTTCCTGATGACGTTAGGCCCTGAACCATACAGATGTAGACCAAGAACCATGAGACCATTAACGCAATGGCAATATGATAATTGAAATTTTCCGGTTGATTAACACTTTCCGAGCACTGTAATGTGGTGCGATACCAATAATATTGGGTTGGTGATGATGCCTAAAGTGCCCAAGTGGTCCCACAACGAAATGGCGGAGAAAGCAAAGATATTAAAAACTCATATAAGTAAATGTGTAAGAAAACAAACAAACAGCAACAAATGAAAAGTACACAAGGGAAAATGAAAATTAAAAGCCAATTCAGTCGATTGGGGTTGGCACAAGACACTTCTCCATATTCGCCCCCATTCTTCTTACCACACATTCCGGCTCATGATCATAAGTATAATTGGCATAGAGACGTGTTGGACATTCCGCCCAAGGCAGTGGTGATTCAAAGCTGTGCAACAAGTAAATGAGGCACCAGGCTATTATCGTATTATAGTACAATGCCACTATGTAGCTGACGACAGCCGATGAGATGCCAATGCCCCCCAAATAGGGCGATACTTGACTCCATACACCAATGGCTCCTTTACGCAGTCGTTGGCCAATGGCCAATTCCAAATAGAAGATGGGTATGCCTTGAATGCACAGCATTATAAAGTAGGGCACCAGAAATGCACCGCCCCCGTTCTTTTGTGCCAGATATGGAAAACGCCAAACATTACCAAGGCCGACAGCATAACTGCAAAAAAAGAAAGAAACGAGAAAATTGTTGAAAGAACAATTTTTGTTTAGAAAATATTTACATAGGAGCATAAAGATGTAGATGTGTGTGTGCGTTTGTTTCAACAATAATAAGAGTATTTTTATATGCACATTGCAAATAGATAAATTCTAAGGGGAATTTAATAAGATTGCAATGTGATGACAGATTTATTTGAGATATACGAAAGGGAAACTGAATCACATAGAGGTCTGATTTTTAATAGAAAACAAAACACATACCTATGTTACTGAGGCCCGATTTTTTCAGTAGAAAAAATATGTAAATAACTGAGGTTCGATGCTTTCTATGGATAAAATACCTCAGTCACTGAGGTCTGATTTTTTTTTCTACCAAAAAAATACCTAGATACCTTGAGGTCTGATTTCTTTATATCAAAAAAAACCTAAGACACTGAGCTCTAATTTTTTTCTATAAAAAATATACTATGTATTTTTATACCCTTCACCACACTGTGGTACAGGGTATTATGTCTTTGTGCATATGTTTGTAACAGGCAAAAGGAATCGAGATAGACCATGGTTCCTTTTGAGAATATGCATAGAATCACTTTCTAAGTCAATTAATGCATGTCCGTCTGTCCGTCCGTCCGTCCATGTATTTTTTTTTAACAAAGTACAGGTCGCATTTATGAACCGAATTGGATGAAATTTGACACAAGTCACTTATTTGGCCCAAGGACGAACCCTATTGAAATTGGGAAAAATAGGTTCAGATTTAGATATAGCTCCCATATATAGTTTCGCCCGATTTAATGTAAATTATCCCTATATATCCTTCGATTTGCACGAAATTCGGCACAGCGTACTGAATTAGGTCTAGAATGATTTGTTTTGAGTTTCCTGAAAATCGGTCTAGATTTAGATATAGCTCCCATGTTTTCGTCCGATTTAAGGTAAATGGTGTACCAAAGGTCCTATATATCTTTCGATTTGCACGAAATTTGACACAGCGCACTGAAACTTAACACACATCATTATGTGTGTTAAGTTTCCTGAAAAATCTGTCCAGATTTAGATATAGCCCCCATATTTATATTCGTCCGATTTTATGCAAATGGTGTACCAAAGTCCCTATATATCTTTCGATTTGCACGAAATTTGGCATAGTGTACTGAATTAGTTCAGTAATGATGTGTGTTAAGTTTCCAGAAAATCGGTTCAGATGTAGATATGGCTCCCATTTATATTTTCGTCCCATTTAATGTAAATGGTGTACCAAAGGTCCTATATATCTTTCGATTTGCACGAAATTTGGCACAGCGAACTGAATAAAGTCTAGAATAATGTGTGCTGAGTTTAGTGGAAATCGTTTCAAATTTAGATATAGCTCCCATATATATTTTTGTCCGATTTAATGTAAATTGTTCACCAAAGTCCCTATATAACTTTCGATTTACTCGAAATTTGGCATAGTGTACTGAATTACGTCTTAAATTATGTGTGTTAAGTTTCCTGAACATCGGTCAAGATTTAGCTATAGCTCCCATATTTATTTTTGTCCGATTTTACACAACATTGACACAAAATTTTGCACAACGTTTTGAAGTTAGTATAACCTAGAAAATAGATATAAATTCTGCACTGAATTCCCCAGGTGGGTCCAATTGGCACAACATTTTGCACAACCTACGGAAAATAACACTGTGCGACACGAACATTTTTCAGGCGTTCTAATGTACCAATTCTGTTTAGTTGGAGTCCCTGGATCACGAAAATACCTTTGGTTTTTCTGGGTCACTTCGAAAATTTATTTTATAACGGTAAATATAGAGAAAAACGTGGTTTCATGGATTTTCCATTTGAAACTTGAATAGCTTATTTACTTTATAACGGATTTATATTATTTTTTTTTCTTTCGAAGAGTACAATTTTTCCTTTCAAACAAAGGAACTATGGGTCTATCTCGTTTCCTTTGCCTGTTACAAACATAACGGTTTGTAACAAACATAACGGTTTGTAACAGGAAACGATACAGAGCCATATTTCCTTAAGAGAATATGCATAGAATCAATACAAAAATGTGTATAAGTCATCCATTTTTTAACCGATTTTTTGATTTTTATCATTTTCGAAAGCTAATTTAATTTTCTTCCCCATAATATAATAAAACTTATATGGCTTGATATCATAATTTCATCGTACAGTCCGAAGAAAAATAAATTTTGTCATTTTATGCGTATTTTTTCACAATTCAACCGCTGTAACTCAGCCAATACTCAACCGATTTACCAAATATATATCTTGTTTGAAAGGAGAAATTGTACTTGTAATTGTCATTCAAGTTTCAAATGGAAAATCCATGAAACCACGTTTTTCTCTATATTTACCGTTATAAAATTAATTTTCGAAGTGACCCAGAAAATCCAAAGGTATTTTCGTGATCCAGGGACTCCAACTAAACAGAATTGGTACATTAGAACCCCTAAAAAATATTTTTTCTTATTTTGTAGCACAGTGTAATATAACATAAAGTGTGACAAGTTTTGTTGAAATCGGTTCAGATTCAGATATAGCTCCTATATATAGTTTCGTCCGATTTTAAGTAAAAGGTGCACAAAAGACTCAAAGTTATGCAGTTTGCTACAAAATTTTGCACAACGTGCTGAAATTAATATTGCCTAACGTTTGCCATGTTTTGTAGGAATCTGTTCCAATTTAGATATAGCTCCCATATATAGTTTCCTCTGATTTTAGTTAGATGGTACACCAAAGACCAACATTAGGTCGATTGACACAAAATTTTGCGCAACGTACTGAAGTTAATATAACCTAGCATGTGGAAGTTGTTGTTAAAATCAGTTCAAATTTGAATAGAGCTACCATATATATTTTCTCCCGATTTTAAGTAAATGATGCATCAAGAACTCAATACCTGTGACAAGTTTCGATGAAATCGGGTTGGATTTCGATATAGCTTTTATATATATTTTCGTCCGATTTTATGTAAATGGTACACCAAACTCCTTATATTTATAAGATATTTATTCAAATAATCAAAGGGTGTCCTATTTATATTTGCTTTAAACTGATTTACATAATTTTATCCCATTGTAAGAAGCAACTATATATCCGACCAAATGAACAATTTAGTATAGGTTGCAGAATGACATGTTTATGGATCCACTATCATTTTACTGGTCCTTCAAAAATGCGAAGTGTGTTAGGATTCATATGTTGAATATACCAAAGTGGTGAAGGGTATCATATAGTCGGCCCGGTCTGACTTTACTACTTTCCTTACTGTTTTTTTTTTTTTTTTTTGTAGAAAAAATACCTTAGAAAATGAGGTCTGATTTTTTCCTATAGACAAAAATACCTCAGGAAATCTATAGGAATAAATACCTCAGAAATTTAGGTTTTATTTTTTCTATAGAAAAAATACCTCAGAAACGAAGGTCTGATTTGTTCTATAGAAAAATACCCCAGTAACTGAAATAAAAATATAGGGAACATATCCTTATATTTTTTTTTTAAGTGGTGGAGGGTATCCAAAGTTCGGCCCTAGTTCCAAATTTCTGTTATAAATATTAAACATTTATCAATTTTTAAATTCAAAATTTTCAACCTCCCACTTAATTGAATTTTGTTGTTTAAGGAAATTGTAATCTCTGTTCCAAAGTTTTTCTGAACGAAACCTCACTAAAAATTTTCTCCCCAAGTTTTTCGTTTTTTCACTTTGTTTTCCTGTTCTTAGTTTGTCATCCATCCACATCCTGTCATTCACATTTTTTTTTGAATATTCATAAATTCTACTTTACTTACCCAATGGTTGCCAGCAGAAACATTATTTTACTATCCCAACTTTCACGTTCTTCGCCCTCCTTTTCACCTTCAACAATATCCGCTGGGGCACTTTCAATGGCTGCCACCAGTTCGGCAACCGCCTTTGTCGTACTGGCCTCGGTGTCCTCAACTTCAGATGATTCGTCGAAGGCATCGGACATAAATGCTTGATTTGTTGCCCCATACATTGGCGTGTGATGGGGGACATGATGCGTGCCATGATGTGGGGCACGATGACTTCCGGCGCTGCTGGTACTGTGTTCGGAAACTAAACGGCCGCGTAACTCCTGGTCAGCAGTAATAGTATGGGTGGAAATAGAAAACGAATTAAAAGTTAATACTATTTTTTGTTCGAAAATACAGGTGTCTATGAAAGAAAGTATTAGTAGTAGACAACATTTAGTTGGAAATGAGATTATTGTTAGTTTTTTTTTCATTTAATTTCTCTGCTGCTGCTGCAACACTTACTCTCAATTCATTTTGATCAATACTCTTTTGTGATTTTAATACAATATCCCGTGAGCTTTGTCGTCTCAACAATTGTGCTGTATTAGCCATTTTGAAAGATGACGATAACGGCGAGGACGACAACGATGATGAAGATGACGGTGGACGATGTGTGGTGTTGGTGGTGGTTCGTTACGTTCGTTCGTTGGTAGTTCGTTCAATAGGTTGATTTGGTTGTGTGGTTGGTTGGTTAGTGGGATTTTTGTTTTGAAGATTTAAAATACGTTAGGCGTTTGGTTTTTCATTTATTTCTACTTTATGTTTTTTTCTATGATATTAACGTTAACTAGATTTGGTGCAATTATTTTACGTTCAGAGACTTATTTTTTTCTGAATCTGAATCGATTACTGGATTTTTTTGTTCTTGCTTTGCTGAGTGCTTGTGGTGTTATTGTTAGTGCAGATATACGTTTTTTTGAGATTCAGTGGTGCGCGTACATTTACATACAGGGTGTTTGGCTGTGTGCTGTTGGCATAGTACTTAAGGTGCTTTTGACTAGAAAGTTATTATCCATTTTGTTGTTCTAGAATAAGTATTTTTGTTGGTGCATTAAATTTTTAATAAAGGAAATGTTATTGTGCAACTAAGAAATTATAAAGTATGTATACGACAATGTTTGACATTCACACTTAACATGCATTTAATTGGGAATGCGGTGAGCGTATGAGTAATGAAATTGTGTAATGTAATAAATTATTGATCATACGTAATAAAAAAAAATTATTTAAAAAATTAAGAACGTGGATAGTTTCATACAAAAACCAGTAAGGAAAGTAGTAAAGTCGGACTGGGTCGACTATATGATACCCTTCACCACTATGGGTATATTCTACATATGTATCCTAACAGACGTCGCCTTTTTGAAGGAACATTGACATGATTTTGCACGAAATTAAATATGTGATCTTTATCTATATCTATACCGATATATGTGATCTTTTTTATATCAATCCATACACATGTCATTCTGCAATCTATGCTAAATTTTGTAAATCGATTTAAAGCAAACTTGACACACGCTATTTGGTATGCTGCACGGTTTAAAATTTAATATCAATCAGACATGCATTGATTACTTGGTGTACAATTAACGTGAATAGGTCGAAATTATATATGGAAGCTTTGTTATATCTATATCTGAACCGATTTCAAGGAAACTTGTCAGAGATTAATTTATATTAACTTCAGTACGTTTTGTCAATAGGCCTAGCTATGGATCTTTAGTACGCCATTTACATAAAATCGGTCAAAAATATATAAGGGAGGTATATCTAAATCTGAACCTATTTTCATGAAACTTCGCACACATTATTATAGCCACACTTCAGTACGCCATGCCAAATTTCGTGCAAATCGAAAGATATATAGGGAGTTTAGTGCACCATTTACATAAAATCGGTCGAAACTATATATGGGAGCTATATCTAAATCTGAACCGATCTTCACGAAGCTTAGCACACGTCATTCTAGACTTAATTAAGGACGCTATGCCAAAATTCGTGCAAATCGAATAATTTTCAGGGACTTTGGTGCACCATTTACCTAAAATCAGGCGAAACTATATAAGGGAGCTATATCTAAATCTGAACCGATTTTCACGAAACTAGGAACACCTACTTCTAGACTTAATTGAGTACGCTATGCCAAATTTCGTGCAAATTGAAACATATATAGGGACTTTGCTGCACCATTTACATAAAATCGGACAAAATATTTATGGGAGCTATATCTAAATCTGAACCGATTTTGCACGAAACTCAGCACACCTCATTCTAGACTTAATTGAGTACGCTATTCCAAATTTCTTGCAAATTGAAAGATATATAGGAACTTTGGTGCACCATTTACATAAAATCGGACAAAAATATATATGGGAGCTATATCTAAATCTGAACTGGTACAGCTCATTTATTTGGCCCATGGACGAACACTATTGAAATTGGTGAAAATCGGTTCAGATGTAGATAGAGCTCCTATATATATTTCCCAAAGCCCCTACATTTCTTTCGATTTGCACCAAATTTAGCATAACGTACTGACATGAGTCTAGAATAATGTATGCAAAGTTTCGTGAAAATCTGTTTAGATTTTAATATAGCTCCCATATATGTTTTCGTCCGATTTTAAGTAAATGGTGCACTAAAGGCCCAAATCTGGGCCGATTGACACAGAATTTTGCAAAACGTACTAATGTTAATATAAATTAGTCTTTGGCAAGTTTCGTTGAAATCGCTAGAGCTATATCTACTCCCATATATATTTTCGTTCGATTTTAGGCAAATATTGCACCAGACTCCTAAATTTTCAAAATTCTCTACATACCATAATCATACACCCCAACAGTGATGGCTCCAAATTGCATTGGTCCACCCAAATCCAAATTGTACAATTTATAGTACGATTTAGTACTTTTCGTACACATAAGTAAAAAAAATCCAAAACTACGTATATATCCCAATATGACACTTCGTCGGTTAATGTTAATTTAAGTTTTGAGGATTCCAACTCGATTTGTACCTACAAAATAAATTTGTACCGAATATAGTACCATATTGTACTTTTCGTATACATAAGTATACGCTTCCAAAGCCTGTTCCTTATATCGACCATGCTTCTCAAAATTAATTCCATTCATCCATTCCACTCTATCCATTCACATGCTACAAAATTATAAATTTAGTACATTTTAGTACTTTTCGCATACTTATAGTTCGAATGTCAAAAAAACCTTTGCTATATCTATTCTACACTCCACATACGCCAAATACAAATGGTACTACATTTAGTACTTTTTGGTACCTAGCCTTATTTGTCACCTTTGGACCAATATTAGTGTAGATTATTTAATATATATACAGTGGCTCCATCGAATAATCGGACAAGTGGTTGTCAGATATAATAATGCTATACATTTAAAAAAAATTGTCTAAATGTGTAGTTTTTTTCGCTTTTATTTACACATTACTTACTTATATTTCTGAACAATACAAAAAACAACAATTTTCCTAGTGATAACAGTAAATTTCGCCAGAAAAACAAAATTAACTCAATTTATTGTGTTCAACGCAAAATCGGACAAAGCAAAGTATCAATGTTAAAAAATGAAAAAAATCGAGAAATTAATATTTAGTTGCATATTTCTTGTTGTCCAGAACGGCCTGTAAACGCTTCGGTATTGATTTGACCAAATTCTGGCATACCTCCGGCTCTATGGAGTTCCACGATTCCAGTAAAGCCTCCTTAAGCTGTACTAAGGAGTTATTTTTTTTCATATAGTCTCCTAGCTAATTCCTCCTAAAGATGCTCAATTACGTTAAGGTCTGGGCTCTGTGCAGGTGTTTGTATACGTTTGGGGCAGTTATGGATCAACCAAAGCTTTGCAACACCTGATGTGAGCTTGGGATCGTTGTCTTAATAAAAGGCAAAGTTGTTCGCGATACCCAATTTTTCTGCACTTTGCTTTACATTTTGTTTTAAAATGTTGAGGTAGACAAATTTGTCCATTTTACCATCAATAAAATGCAAATTGCCTACTCCCGCACTCCACATGGAGCCCCAAACCATAACAGAACCTCCCCCGTGCTTTACAGTGGCTTTTGTATTCTTATGATTAAATTCAGCATTTTCCTTACGCCACACATACATCTTTCCATCTGATCCGTGCAAATTAAATTTGGTTTTGTCAGTAAACAGAACCTTAATATAATGAAAACTATCAATTGAAATGTATTTTAAGACGATCTATCATCAAATTACCTGCTTACAAAAATCTTCTGGTTTTAGTAAATACTCCTTGGCATATTTTATTCTACTGCTTTTATTTTTAAGGCTTATAAATGGTTTTTTTTCTTCCAACTCTCCCATAATAATCATATTTATGTAATGTATTGCGAATAGTATTTAGGCACACATCTTTTCCAGTGCGAGTTTTTAAATTTATTTTAAGTTCTTTTGCGGTTTTAAATGGATATTGTTTTATTTCTTTTAATATTCGACGCTCTTCTCGCTCATTTAACATCTTCCCTTGACCTTCTCTGCTTTTATTGGTCAATCTGAACTCATCACGGAACGTCTTTATAATGTCGTGGACAGTAGATTTACTCATTCCTACCAATTCGGCAATTTCTCTTACTGTTTTACCATCATAATTCAATTTATCTATTAATTGTTTGATTTCCACACTGGATTGTTTCCCTTTTGGAGCCATTTAAATTTATTTTTATTTAGTATTACCACTTTCTTGATCTAAATGCAATTTACGAATGAATATGACAAACAAAATACAGATTTGAAGTTCATATTTGCATAATAACTTGACTTTTAACATTGATACTTTGCTTTGTCCGATTTTGCGTTGAACACAATAAATTGAGTTAATTTTATTTTTCTGGCGAAATTTATTGTTATCACTAGGAAAATTGTTGTTTTTTGTATTGTTCAGAAATATAAGTAAGTAATGTGTAAATAAAAGCGAAAAAAACTACACATTTAGACAATTTTTTTTAAATGTATAGCATTATTATATCTGACAACCACTTGTCCGATTATTCGATGGAGCCACTGTATATATATATATATATATATATATATATTAATTTGTCTTTTATTTTTCATTCCAGATTTTTATGAATTATATATGCTCGAATTTCCGTATGATGACAATCGAAAACGATATACAAATTATTTGAAAATATGGCAGGCCCGCCGATAACGATCAATATATATTTTGGAATTATCATCATCTCTCAATCATAAAATCCCACAAGGAAGGATTACAATAGAATATAGTTCAAATAAGTGGGCTAAGTTGTTAAGAAAATTATTTCTTAAAATTTATATTTAACATTATTTTATAAATGTATGTATATATTTTTTACAAAGAATATTGAATAAAAAATAATGAATTTACCAAAAATACTATTTGTTTTTATTTACGGATACAACAAATATGGTAAGTACGCATGCGACATAATTTGTCTGAAGACGTCACAATTTGTAAGCACAAATTTCACAAAAATACCAGGCGCCCAGAAGAAAATAGAAAGTAGCCCGCCAAAAAA